CCATACGGGAAAGTAAAATGTATCAGGTCAGACAACGGCACAGAGTTCACAGGGAAACATTACCAAGCATTGCTATGCGTGCAGAAGATTAGACATGAAAAGTCAGCACCGTATTCCCCACATCAAAATGGCACTGCTGAGAGGAATTGGCGCACACTTTTTGACATGGCCAGGTGCATGCTTATAGAAAATGAGATGCCAAAAAGTATGTGTTCCCATGCAGTACAGACAGCAGCTGTAGTAAGGAATAGATGCTTTAACAACCGCACAAAACAGACACCTTACTTTATGTTGACAGGTAGACGGCCTAACCTGTCCAGAATGCACAAGTTTGGGTCAGTGTGCTATGCCTATAAGCAAGACAAACTGGACTTAAGGTGTGAAGAGGGAATTTTTGTTGGATATGACAAAAATAGTCCAGCCTACATGGTCTATTTCCCTCACAGTGGAAAAGTGCAAAAATCTAGACTTGTGAAGTTTGTGACCAAGACCAATTCAGAAAGAGAAACACAAACAGAAAACCGTCTCTGATGATGACTTTGAGGTACAGAACAAATCTGGCAAAATCAAGCGTGATACTAACGTTAGTCCAGTATCTATACCTGTGGTAACAGAGACAGAAGACGACAAGAGTGAGCTTAGGCGTTATCCTTCAAGAGTGAGGAAGAAGCCAGCTTACTTATGTGCCAGTGTATGTGGTAAGGAATGTGAGGATCAGCTACTGACAAATATTGACTATTGTTACAGATTAATGTGCAATATCCCTTTAATATTTAGGGAAGCTGTAACTTCATCTGAGTCAAAAACAATGGGTTATTGCAATGGATGAGGAAATGCAATCACTAAAAGAAAATGACACATTTATCCTGACCAATTTACCTCAGGGTGAGAAAGCAGTGGGGGGTAAATGGGTGTATGATATCAAAACCAATGTTGATGGATCCGAAAGATACAAGGCACGATGTGTAGCCAAGGGATACAGTCAGAAGAGGGGTGAAAACTATGATGAGACATTTTCACCTACCGCTAACCTCACCAGTATCAGAGTGTTGATGCAAAAAGCGGCACAGGAAAATCTGATTTTACACCAAATGGATGTTAAAACTGCTTACCTACATGCACCAATAGACTGTGAGATATACATACATATACATATATATATTACATATACATATACATGCCAGAGGGTTTTGAGGTCAAATCCAGTAAAGGTGAAAAGTTGGTGTACAAGCTAGAAAAGTCACTATATGGGCTTAAACAGTCAGGCAGAAATTGGAACAAAATGCTGCATGAGTATCTGAGTGAAAAAGAGTTCCTACAGAACCCTGCTGACCGTTGTGTTACAAAAGAAACTGGAAAGTGATAATGATAATATGGGTTGATGACATAATCATTGCAGCTAGTGATAACAATGCATTGAAAGTTGTTAAAGAGATGCTCACAGCTAAAATCAGGATGAAAGACTTGGGGAAACTAAAACATTCCTCAGTATTGATTTTGATCAAACTGATTCATGTGTAAAGATGTCACAGACAAAATATGTGAACAAAATACTTGAAAGGTTTAACATGCAGGATTGTAAACCAAGAGCGACACCTTGTGAGCAAAAACTGAACTACTTAGATGATGCTGTACCGATGAAGGATGTGAGAATGTACAGAGAGGGCAGTAGATAGCCTGATCTACCTGGCTGTGTGCACGAGGCCTGATTTGAGTTTTGTTGTCAGTAAACTGTCCCAGTATTTTCTGAGCCGACAGAAGAGCAATGGACTACTGTAAAACATGTACTGAGATATTTGAAAGGTACAATCGACAGGGAACCGTGTTACCGGAAATGTAAGAGTGAAAAACTGGGCTTACAAGCATACAGTGATGCAGATTGGGCTGCTGATCTAACCGACAGACGGAGTGTGTCAGGTTATTGTGTTAGCCTTAATGAGAGCGGGCCACTGGTTTCCTGGAAAACCAAAAAGCAGCCAACTGTCGCTTTATCAACTTGTGAAGCTGAGTATATGGCTTTAGCAGCTACTATGCAGGAGTATATGTACTTAATACAACTACTAGAGGCAGGGCCGCCCCTCCCTACAGGCCAATCACGCAGGCTGCATGGGGCCCCGTCTTGCGCAGGGGGCCCCGCCCAGAGGGCCTCAGCTGCTGTGCGCAGTTCTCCGCTCAGTTCTCTCCGCGCACCCCCCCGCGAGAGTGAGAGTGAGAGGGTGACAAGGGGAGCATGTCTGTAACCCGACACCGTTATAATGTATCGACATCTGACCAATCACGGCTTTGATACGGCCACTAGTGCAGGTGAAGAGATGTCGGTGAAAAGACAGTTTTCAGTCCGGCGCAAAAAACAAAACATGAAGAAACTAGAGCATCACTCGAAGGTGGGTTATTGTATGAGTCAAATGTACAACTTGCGAATGTTGTATAAGTCAAAATTGCCAATTGCCATAATTAAAACATCAGCTGCAATTCATGACATGAAGAAGGTCTCTGCAGAGCATACAGGCTAATGGAGATGCAGTTATTTCCAGCATTCTTTATTTACCATTCAAGTATGTGATGCCTTTGATCTGCTAATGTATACAGGAGGAAGAGTGATAAACTGTCCGTTTAGTTGGCTTACATAACAGTTCAAGTTTACAGCCTAAAAAACATGGAGCATTTTTTTCCCCTTTATTCATTTTTTAATGAATAACTCCTGCAGTCATCATCATGTCAACCACAACACAGAGAAATACTGATCTGTGTGTAGTTGTTGATACATTGCTGACAGAGGGAACTACATTTGAATACATATTTAAGAAATATCAGTTTTTGAGCATGTCATAAGCATGTTTTGTCTTGACTATATTACAACTATATTATAATAAAACAATATATTATTTGTATTATTAAATTGATTATGATTATCATTATTAGTAGAAGTAGTTTATTTGCATTCATTATATTTTAATCTTTTTGAGGCTAGTATTTGGCAGGAAATACAGACGTATTCACCAGTAAACACATACTGAACGACATACATGCACATTTACCTCAGTGTATAAAAAAGTAACTGTGTTGATAATAATAATAAACAGGAATTATATTTGCAAAACATTTTTTCACTCCTGTCGGTTGGGGGGGGGGGGGGGGGGCTCATCTCACAATGTCGCTTGGGGCCCCAAGTTGGCAAGGGGCGGCCCTGACTAGAGGGCATTGACAAATGTGAATATACACTACCTACGATTTACGAAGACAACCAGGGCACAATAGCGTTGGCAAAGAATCCTGTTAACAGACAGAGATCCAAGCATATTGACATCAAGTATCATTTTCTGAGGTCAACTGTGGAAGGGGGAAAAACAAATCTGATGTATTGTCCAACAGACCAGATGGTGGCAGATGTTACGACAAAACCTGCACCAAAGTTTAAGTTGATTAAGTTTGCAAAGTTTATGTTTGGAGAGTAATAATGCCTGTAAGCTAGAGTTTCAATTTCTGTAAGGTAGAGAACCCTATGTTTTTATTTGTTAAAATACCACAAATGTGATATCAAGTGGGGGTGTTAACAATTTGTGTTTGTTATTTGTTGTGCATGACTGGAAGCCAATAGTGAACCAGGTTAAAGGTCATGATGGGTATAAATAAAGCCAGGCCTCCAATGGGAGGGCCCGTTGAATGAAATGCCACCGTCTCTGATGCTTCGTTATTCCTCCGCTTATTTGGATGCTAAACAGCAATGAAGTTATGCTTACTCTGCTAACAATTAAAGTGTTCTCAAAGCTGGTAAAGGTGCAGCTAGTTTGAATGACTTTGTATACTGCAGGGTAGCTTGTGGATTTACTCCAGGTGGAACTAAAGTCTGATTTAACACTTGATTTTCACATCATTCATCCACATCTGTAAAGTAACTAAAGGTATTAAATACATGTAGTGGAGTTAAAGTACACCATTTTCAACCTCTGGTTGAGTAGAATTACAAAGTATTACAAAATGGAAATACTCAAGTAAAGTACAAGAATCCCAAAATGGTACTTAAGTACAGTACTTGAGTTAATGTACTTCGTTACTTCCATCTGAGTACATCTCCCACATCTGCTCTTATTATTCTAAATGTCATTAACTATGATTTTTATCATAGCATCATATTCAGAGTGTGACTATATGGCCAGCTCTGTGTCTGGCTGTCTTGGACTTAATCTGAAGGTAGCAAATATGTGGTTTAACATAAAAAAAACATTTATTAAAGGTGGGGTTGGTAAGTTTCAGAAACCGGCTCGAGATACACTTTTTGTTATATTCCATGGAATGCTCTTAACATCCCGATAGCAATGAATATCTTAAGTGCTTTGACAAAAAAATCCATAACAAAATGTCATCTGTGGAAGCTGTAGTGCTGTAAAAAGTACAACCAATTGGTTGTACTTTGCCGCCCTGTCTGTCAGCCTTCCATCTCGTGCACGCACAAATGTATCTGGTGCCCTCATTGGGCGTGCCGTCATTGGGCGTGCATTGCAGCAGTACTTCAATGACTCGCCAGCAACAGGCGGCCACTTTCACCAGTCTGCTGACGTCATGTGCGCGTTCATGTGTGTTGGGAGGAGGTGCTCTGTAAGGAAGTCTGAAGGAAGGGGCGGATTCTTTTCGGCTGTGTACTTTCAAATTTTAGTGGCACTCGAGCAGGTTTCTGAAACTTACCTACCCCACCTTTAAGTGTACATTTCAAGGTCAGCACTGAGATTATCATCGGATCCCATAAATAGTCAGTGAGTCAGTATTGGTCTAATACTCAGTTTTATACAAATGTAAGGAATATAATACAACATATATAATACAATATTTATTCATACTGGAAAGAGGAGCCATTAAAGTCTCTCGTTGGAACCAGTTCTGGTTTAAAGGTTTACAGGATGGATCAGATGTACACATATGTAATCACACTGCATGATATCAGAGGGCAATGACCTCTGACGGTCAGATGGATCAGGTGACCTCTGACCCCGTGAGGAGGGCGCTGCAGTCCCACTAGAGCTTCTTGGGGACGTTGGTGATGATGGGTTTGGGCCGCGTCTTGAAGATCAGCTTCCGTTTGATGAGCGCGGTCACGCAGTAGGAGGTGGAGGGGGCTCCTGGCTGCTTGGTTTCCATGGGTAACTGTGGGACATCATTGTTTTCATTGTCACTGTCACGGCAACCCTGGCTGTCCTGCAAATGGCTGGAATGCTTGGTGAGTACAGCAAAGGGTTTTTTCCAGTTTCACCTGCTTCCCATAAAGAATATGGTGCCCTACAATGAGCACTGGCACCCCCTGGTGGAGGGAGGAAGAAAGACCGCAGCATTAAGAGCCAGGACTAGTTTCAACTTTTAGTGATAATACATTCAGTTGAACATCACAGAAGAAACACAAATGCATCAAAACTTCACAATGGATAAGCTGAGATAAGTGTTTCCAATATATGCTTGAAAAAAGACAAGCACTACAATCTCCTTGTATATTTTGAGGTTGGGCCTAAGATAATTAAAGGAATGCTCCACTCATTAGATAATTAATCAAAACTTCAGTATTTAGTGAAACATTATGTTTAAACCATACCCTGAAGAAATCAGCGATATTCCCCGGTAATAATGATTTTATAGCTCTTTTTTATCAAAACCTGTATATTCCGTCAGGGGCCGCTGCCATTTTGGCCATTTTCAGTAGTCACGTGATGGTCGTGACGTCATCCATGCGTTCACTTTGTAAACATACGAAAACATGGCGGAGTATTTGAGTTCGGACTCGTCAGCCGAGGAAGAAGTTTTGAGCAATATGAAGAGATTGGATGGGGGAATTCAGCCATACAGGTTCGAGCCAAGTAGTCAGAACCGTCAGGAATCCAGGGACAGTGACGATGAGGATGAACAGCACGGTGATCTTGCTGGAGACGATCCCTTTACTCGTGCAATTGATTTCGGGAGGCGAGTAGGAAGACCTGTACATGAATGGTGTACCTAGAACCACGATTTTATGGGGCCGGAAAAACTGGGGGAAAATACCCACTAGCCGGTACTACGCTATATGGAAAGGCCACCAAAAACTGGCCTGGACGATAAAGGACGTTTAAACGGGGGCTACCCGCTGCAATGGAAATGCGCTATAACATACCTTATTCTTACTCCGAGCACTACTTCTGGTCCTCCGTCGCTTCACACTTGCAGAGGGGCGATTTTCTCAACTGGCCGAACTGGTGTCGTGGTCGGTGATGACACAGAAAGACCGATGGTACTGCATCTCCATTAAGTAATGGTTGTTCAATAAATCCCATGTTATGTTTTATCATACTCTCAGAGTAGTCGTCCGGAAACTTGAAATGTTCGCTGCATACATGCGCCTGTGGATCTTTCGGTTCGGGCCGGCCACATTTCGCTAGCCACTGCCTCCGAACGTACTTCCTACGCTTACCTTTTGGCAACAGATGGAACCGAGCATTCCGTGGATTGTTTCCTATCAGAATTGTGGCAATGTTTCGCGATACAATGAGGCATATTTGAAGAGAGTAACTACAGTAAATAACATGAACATCAACGTGTCCTCGAAACCAAACGCATGGTTTACGTCATGTCCGGTAAAATGGCGCCGCCCACAGTGTTGATGTTATTTCGGTAATTAATCAGTTTAAAATCACTGATAATGTCATCGGATTAAAAAAAAAAAAAAAAGACTGGCAGAGACTGGTCTGTTTTATCGGATGATAATTATTTAAAAATGAGTGTCATGAGCATACCATTCCTTTAAATAAAAAAAGAGAAACTAGTTTGTTGTTTTATTTACTGTAAATTATTAACGCATGTGGTTATTTATTAGAGTAAAGCTTACAACTTAGATCTTCAAACAGGGTTCTCACACATTTGTAATCATCAAATTCAAAAGACTTCAAGACCCAACATGGCATAGTTTGACCTTGCAGTCAAGTCTATTTTTGCTCAGGAACGTATCTAAAGCAGGGAAATTACCAGGGAACTGACAAGAGATGTTCAAATTCTCTAGATGATGGAAAGGAGCTTCAACGCTTCCTTTATAACCTCCTTTAGCTGGTGAAACACTAGACTTTCCTTTACAGAAGGAAAGGGAGAAAATGTTGTCCAAGAATACATTGTGCCCACATATTAAATTAATGAATTGAATTAGACAACATTTGGCTGTTAATGGAAACAACCGATCGTGACTGAGAAAGTGGATAATGTAAGTTATGCTTATTAAACATTTAACAACTTATGCCGTAAACTACCAAAGTGCTTCTATGTTTTAAGGTTCCAACACTATTAAACCAAAAGGTGAACAATGACCGTTACGCTACACTCTAAAAATGACCAAATGGATTCATTTCAATATTTCCAGTGTTCACCGAGTTAAGGGGTGGTCCTTAAGCTTTACGTTTTTTTTTTAATTCCACATGTGTCCACCTTGAGTGATAATATGCACAGTAGAAGATATTCTTTATTTAGATGATTTATTCAAATAGTTTTTAACAATCCTATTTAATGGTATTCATATCATGTAATACGAGTGGACAGCAGTGTGAGCAAACATTTAGTTTCCCTTTCCCATTTTTGTTTTAGTTCAAATGTTGTGAAGTAATGTACTTTTCACTGTTGCACACGTTTATAAAGACCAGCATGAAACAACGTAACACATAGTGATTAGGACGCACAGGAGAAAGTATCTGGATACGCTTTTAGTCCCTCTACCCTAAAAGTGTAGTTTTCCCACAGCTGCTGACGCATCGTAATAACGTTGACCAGTGTCTCTCTTCACAAGTCCTGGGCTGCGTATCAGGTCGACTATTTTCATTTCCTCGGTCTCGGTCTCACCGGAAGTTGATTTGTCTGCGCCATCTTGAGTAGCGTCCCATGGCACTTATTTCTGCCGGAGGAGCGAGGAGCGATAATGGAGGAGCAATAACCAGACCATCCTCCGATGAAATCCTCAGATAGTGAGGGAAGCAAGGATTTAATTTAACCGACCTGAGACGGGTCCCTGATGAATTCTCCTTCACATCTTTCCTTAACAACATGGCTGCTTCTCAGGTCGGTTAAATGAAATCCTTGCTTCCCTCACTTGCGTCGTTTCCCTGCGTCTAGTCCCTCCCACCAGGGAAGCATGGAGGGACGCAAGGAAACCACGAGAAGCAGGGAAATTAGTTTTAAGAGCAATGGGACGTCCTTTCCTCCGGAGCGTCACGTGAAGCGACGTCCGTTTGTGATGAAGCTGCACAGCTGATCGTCTGACAGCAGCTCTGTCCCCGTTATTTCCACACACCCCCCCGCCTCTGTTAGTGCACATTTACTAGTGCTGTAGCGACGCGTCGACTTCAAAATATCGTCGACGACATATTTCCGCGTCGACGCGTCGCTACACACACGTGAGTCACCCAAAGCAACAAGCAGTTCGCAATCGCACTTCAAACACAATGGAGACTGAAACGGCTACCACCTCCTCCTCACAGGATTGCGCACGAAGCCCCCAAACGAAAACATCTCGCCCTAGGTCTTCAAAAGCATGGGAATATTTTAAAGTTAGTCCAAAACGCAAAGATATTTATATCTCACTGAGACTTCTGCATAGCCTAGCAGAAGCAGCAGCTAGCTGTGGTGGCTACCATTAGCAGCTAGCATTTGCTCTCCGATTTTTACATAAAATGGAATTATGGATTATAAATTCAATCATTTTTTTATATATAGACGTTAAAAACCTATGGATTAACCGATTCAGCCGCGTTTTTTTCTCATTTTATTGCCATTGAACACGTCTTTTGATCAGATTACGGTGGTGAGACGATCTCCCGAGAAGCTCTGTGAAGGTACGTGTTGTGATGACTGTATTTGCTTCCCCTGTCGCGAGTCCGGATCACTCAGTGATGATACTATATACCTACATAATCTGTGGAGTCTCAGCTTTAATCGGATATATTGTATGTGCAGCTACGATAAGTAATAAGGGTACTTTTATCTTGAGTTCTGTGCCAATGTCCGTTAGCATTTTTCGCTCAGGGGTCATTTAGATGCTTCTTATGAGACTTGTGTTTTGTTTTGGTAAACATGGTTTGTATCGTCAGTTAGCTGAGATTATTTCCGTTAATCTGGTATAACACATTAATAGGTTCTTAAATATTAAGATCCCCTGAGACACAGTATCGTGACATTTTTTTTTTTGACATTACGTTTTTTTTACATTACGTTTTTTATTAATTGAACAACAGAAAAATAATCGTTAGATTAGTCGACTAATCGATCAAATAATCGCCCGATTTATCGTTTTCAAAATAATCGTTTCCCCCCAGCACTAACATTTACTGACACAAACATATGTATCATCTGTTGTAGACCCAAATAAATAAAATAAAATAAGAACTAATTCTCAAAAAAGATAAACGCCATTCTTAAAATGTATAAACGAACATTAGTTTGATTAATATTGATTAGAGTGCACAATAGAAATAAAATAATTGAGAGAAGAAAAAGAGATATGTTATCTATCAAAACCCAGTTAGATTAACATTCATTGGATTGCACACTTTGTTTGTTTGTGTGGATATGTAGTACATTAACATTTTAATAGCACTTAATGACTGACTGAATGGAAATGACAGTAAATGAAAATGTAAAACGAAAAAAGCGATCATGAAAATGTCTCCAACAAATGAATAAAATGATTTGTGACCACTTTGTTGTTCAGATATATCACATATTTGTAACTAAATGATCCATGAATTGAAAAAAAACACGGTATAAACTGAGGAGTGACTCCCGTGAGGTTCATGTGTTTTCTTCACTCCGCTGGGAAACTGCTCTCATGTCAAGAAGCATCAGATCAGTGCATGCACTGCATCGTCCAATCAGTGAGCGATACACAGTAAGGGGGCGGGGCGAGTGTCTCAGGATTTCATCGAAGGATGGTCTGGTGGTTCCTCGGTTATAGCTCCTCGCTCCTCCGGCAAAAATAAGGCCATTGGAACGCTACTCAAGATGGCGCAGACAAATCAACTTCTGGTGAGACCGAGACCGAGGTCGTTTCTCAATCGCGAGTACGCTTGCTTGGTAGCACATGTCTTCCGAGTCACTTGCTTCAGAAGCGAGACAAGAATCCTTCCTGGCATTCAGAAAATGAAGAGTGGAACAGGCTAGCAAGTGTGCGTCATATGAGAGGCCCCGCCTTACATTTTCCACCACAGATTTGGGGAAATTGGTCCGTGCGCAAAGCATTGTGGGGATTTGAAGGACACGAAGTCTACCCATGTGCAGCCTCAAAATTTCCCCCACACCAAGGACGCGGGCCTCGGTGGAATTCCAAGTATACTGGACATTGGAACGGTCCTGCTGCGCCACTTGATGACGTAGCATCCTTGAAATATTGGCTTGGAAGCCAATATCCTCGCGATTGAGAAACGGCCCGAGGAGCGAGGAAATGAAAAATAAGAGAAGTGAAACGCAGCCCATGACTGTTTTCACAGGGGTTGAGGAGAAGTTGCTAGCAAAAGACGTAGCTGGAGACACGGGACAAGATACTTTCTGGAAGCAGGTGGAGAGTGAAACAATGTCGCAACTGAGAGAAGACATGTAGAAGGCACAACCGAACTTACCTATTTACTTCGGGGGAAAAAAGATTATAAAATAGTTGGCAATTAATTTAACAAGAGAATTGTATAATCTTTGCAGATAGCGCATTATGTATGTCATTCTTTACTTTCTTTATGAACTTTTTAGGTGTCTCTGAGCACTGGAGAAAGAGTTATGAATATACATGATACAAATATCCCATATTATTGTTGAATGAGCCTGATTTCTTGTAACTCTAAAACTAAGTTTGCCTTTGATAGCAGCAGTGTGCGGTACCGTGTTCACCTCTATGGTGTAGAGCAGGTCTCCCATCACGTTCCCTGCCAGAGCAGAGTTGTGTCTGGAGAACACTCTCCCTGCAGCTCCACCAGCAGCCACTCAGCAGGACTGCTGCCATCCACACTTGATCTGCAGGAGCACCAACACAGCCTCACATCAACTGAAGGACTTCGTTATACACATGAGATATCCTCCACCACATGTCAGAGTCCTGCATTATCAACCCTACATAAGTAAAAGTATGTAAGTATTATCATCCATATTCACTTAAAGTATGAATAGTAAAAGTAGTGATTGCGCAGTAAACTTTCTCTGTGATTTACTTTGTGATTAATATTTCTGCAGCATCATGTGTATGTTGAGTTTTCCTGCTGTAGGAGTTTTTAAGGTTCGGTTCAACACATTTATATACTGGTAAATCTACAGCAATGCATGACATTAATATGTATGTAGCTCTGTTGCTGTCCTGTGAGAAGCACTAAGTAAAGTCAACTTGTGAAGATGTATTTTCCACCGGACCCAAGAGGATTCTAAATGTTTTTCAACGAGAAAGAGAAGAATTGTCAATACAAACGACCAACACCTATCAGGGTTAAACACAGGTACACGGTTTTCACTGGACAAGAAGCTTTTACAAAAACTTTAATCTAAATATCACTCATAAATGTTGCTCAATAGGAAGTGCAACGCTTCCCTCTGAGATGTAGTGAAATAGAAGTATAAATGTGCTAAAGTAAAGTAACTAAGTAGCCTACTACTTAGTAAATATACTTACATCACTCTGGTTCACTCCCTACATTCTCCATAAACGTGTTCCCTAAGAAGTGTTTTGTCCCTGTGCTATCTCATTCACAGTACCGTTACACTTCTATTACAAATGATCAGTGGTGTAAAGTAACTAAGTACATTTACTATTGTACTTATACTTTTGAGAGACGTGTACTTGAACTGAGTATTTCAATGTGTTACTACTGTTTACTTCTACTCCACTACAAATCAGAGGATAGTAGTGTACTTGTATTTAATAAATGTAGTTACTTCACAGATGTGGATGAATGATGTGAAATATAATCAAGTGTTGAATCAGACTTTAGTTCCACCTGGAGTAAATCCACCAGCTACCCTGCAGTATACAAAGTCATTCAAACTAGCTGCACCTTACCAGCTTTGAGAACACTTTCATGATCAATCATTATAAAACATATCATATATATTATTCTGAAATCTGCACAAGGACTACTTTTACTTTAAGTCAATTTTGATGATAAAACGTTTGTACTTTTACTTGAGTAACAGGACTTTTACTAGTAACAGAGTATTCCTACACTCTGGTACTACACTATCTGAGTACTTCCTCCACCCAGGGACTCCTCCAGGCGGTATACACAAACCTTTAGGCTGAACACATGCGGTGTATCTTACCTTATGACTATTTGAACCATCGTGCTGTTAGAGAGCGGACACCGTGCTGCAACACGAACAGGATGGAAACAGACCGACACGTTACCGAGGCATTACAAGTGCCCAACACAGCAGTAACTATACGAGAACAATAACCAACAATAGCATTCAGAATGCTGTGTTTATACAGAAACGTTTACAGTATGTGCTTCATAGTCTGCTAGTATTTCCCGCCACCGGTTTCCTGCTGTCAGTGTGATGACGTTGTTCCGGTTTGTGCAGTGTGTTTGTCAAATTCATTTCCGGTTCATAGGTTCACAACGTGGCTGCGGATGTTTTCCAGCGTGGGGTTCACAGCTCAGAAAGTGTAGACACTGTGAGGATAAACAGCAGGTAATTGTTATATTATTATTATTATGAGTTATGACGGTTAAACTGAGCTTTATTTATATATACTGACAGTGTGTCTCCCTGGGAGGGGTGTGCGTGTGTGTGTGTGGGGTAACGGACAGCTCTACGGTTATGTTTTGCCTAGCTGTAACAGTCTTCCTCTTGCGTTTTTCCTCAAAGTAAAATGGCTGAGTTCAAGGTGCACCGTGTTCGCTTCTTCGACTACATGCCCACTGCTATCCGAGCCATGGCGTTTAACCCCCGCACGGAGCGGCTGGCTGTGGCCCGGGCTGATGGAGCTCTGGAGATCTTCAACTTCGCGGACAACTACTTCCAAGAGAAGGTAACCTGCACTAAAATACAGCTTTCCCTCCAGCCCCAAGTTTTGTCCAGAGAAATAAATAAAATACAAAAAAACACAACTCTGCTCACAAACCATAAAGATAGAGATAGGTACTTTATTTGATCCCAAATTGGGAAATTATTTAGTGACAGTAGCAGGAGTGTGTTCAGGTATTACAATCTTCAAATAAAACAAGTAAAACACAAATAAAAGGTAAAAATAAAACAATAACAGCCATATAGTAAAAACAATAGACAATTTAAAAGAACTTTCCTACACGACCCACTCTGTCTGGAAACAACAACTGAACAGCACTAACATTCAAACTGTCTTGAATGAATGAAATGAGCCAGCCGGTGGTGTTTTAAAGAAAGCTCTGAACCCTTAGGGCTTCATCTTCAGTTCCACTTTTCTTTCCATGCATTTTCAACATGTTTTGATGTTGATCCACAGGTCATCCCAGGGCAGGACGGCCGGGCTGCGGAGGCTCTGTGTTGGCTGGGCCAGCGCCTGTTCAGTGCCGGGCTGAATGGAGAGATCACAGAGTATGACCTGGAGAACCTGAGACCCAGGTACACAGTGGAGGCCTATGGAGGACCAATCTGGAGCATCAGTAGCAACAGCCAGGGAACCCTGCTCGCGGTCAGTCAGCACCTTGTGGATATTTAATCTACTCTACTCCTGATGCTAATGTTCTTCCGCCCAGCGTGGTGACCTTGCTCAAAGTCGATAATAAATTGACTGAATGTTTCTAATCCAGGTTGGTTGTGAAGACGGGACAGTGAAAATATTTGAAATACTGGAAGAGAGGATTCAGTTTCAAAGAAACCTCGACAGGCAAAAGGGTAAGATTCAAATTGACCCAGAGGTATTTCTGCTCTTCAACTGGCAGTTGTATAAATATATAGATAGGCTTACATTGGACAGTATCCAGCAATGTTATCACACATTTACCCTGTATCATAGCTAACCTAATAACAAAAGGCCTGTGATTACATTTGTATTTTTTGAAATAAGTGTTAGTTATATTGCAGTTTTATTCGCAAAAATGTAATGTGCAATATTGAACTATTTCTCAATCCAGGTGTTTTACACCATTAGTCAAATTATTAATGAAATCCATGCAAAAAATATAGCTTACAGTTGACATGTATTGGGACATCCCTAGCTTGAATAATAACACAATGATTGAGCTGCTTGATTTGACAAGTTATGATCAAATGAAACATTCATTTTAAGAATTTTTTTTTAACTTAAAACCATTGTTTTTATTTGTAACCCTTTCTCTGACTTGGTGACATTTTGTTTCCTGTGATCTTCTAGGTCGTATTATCTCTCTCTGCTGGCATCCCTCTGGTACATTGATAGCTGCTGGCATGATGGACATGATAAAAATCTTTGATGCTGAGTCAGGTCAGTAGATACATTCCATCCGGGAGTTATTAGCATCATATAAGTTTCATGTTTGTTAACTGTTTTTGTTTTCTACTGCCACGTCAGGCCGTGCCACACACAGACTGCTGGTGGAGAGAGGAGTCGGAGCATCAAAGAGTAGAGAGGTGGTGGTTTGGAGCATCGCCTTCCTGTCAGATCACACTATCATCAGCGGTGACTCGGCAGGAAAGGTCCAGGTCTGGGATGGACTCACAGGGACTCTGGTCAGAACCCACCTAGTCACCAAGTGGGACGTTCTGGCCCTGTCTTCTTCCCAGGTAAGTGTGCAACCAATAATTAGAACATTCATAAACCCCTGATCTGAGGTAGTGTTATTGCACAGCCCATAGATCCAGTAACGTACAACTGTCCACATAATTCACAGGACGAGAGCAGCGTGGTAGCCGGGGACGTCAGAGGGAACGGTGGTCCAGTTTCAGTTCCTCTCCTCTAATGTTGGCCAGCAGGATAAGGAATGGGTCCGAACAAGGACCTTTAAAAACCACTCCCATGATGTGAGGGGGCTCGCTCACACCGACACAGCTGTGGTTTCTGGAGGTCAGTGCTTTTTTGTTTTGTTTACGTTAATCAACTTGGCAGTGTTATCCAAGGCAAAGTGTATGATATTAAAAGTTATGTCCAATATTATTTTAATGCAAACGCATCATCACATCCTTTCAATTATTTCAGTTTAACTTAGTGTTAATTTCGTTGACTAAAACTATGACGAAATATGTTCGTCAACGACCTTTTTTTCCATGACGAAAACGAGACGATGACGAGACGGCACCGTTGGCAGTAAACAATAACTGTAACGAAATCATCATGCATTATCGTTGACGAAAGTAACGAGACGAAAATGTAGTTTACTAAATAAAAACTATGCCAAAATCTCTCTTTACTTTCGTTGACGAAAAATGAGGAGACGAAATATTATCAAAGATAACGTTACATCTCTGATAGTCAGTTTTTCTCCCAGCAGTTCCATTTCCGGTGCTGTGGCCGGGCAGCAGCTGTGTGTGTCTGCGGTGCGCGCGCGGCGGTACATTTGAATTACACCGGGCAGCGGCACACTGTGAACTGTCAGGAAGACTCTGGTCTAACTCATGGTCTAACTAACCTTATTCAACAGAAAATAAAATGGCAACAACAGGGCTTGGGAGCAGTGGTCGCACTTGCGTTAACCGAATACCCCCCTGTCAGCGCGAGTGAGTGATACATTGTGCACTCGACGGATAATAATGGATTATGATGGAAATGTTACGATCCTGTCCGTCAAAATGACTGACAATGAAAAAGTCTAAAGCCACCACTGCTTGGGAGAAAGAAACGATGTGATATTTGGGCCCCATTTTAGCTACAATGAGGCGGAGAAAAAAAGAGAATGCATTGTTTTATCAGAAGGGAAGCAATGTGGCCATAACACAGCTGGTACAAACACCACAAACCTGACCAGATACTCTCTGCAAAGCTTCTTAATCATTCAACCTGTGTTTTTCATCAAATAAGGACAAGATATAATCTTATTGTGAAATACGTTTGACTAAAATGACAAATTATTGGTTTTGGCTAGACTAGTTTGACTGAAATGTTCTATAATCTGATGACTAAAAAAGACTCAACAGTTTTCATTGACAAAAGTAGACTAAAATAATTAGTTTTCTTTGACTAAAATAACACTAAAATGCTCAGACTTTTAGTCGACTAAAACTTGACTAAATAAAAACAGGATGAAGGTGACTAAATATGACTAAAACTAAAAAGGAAATTTAATACAGGACTAACGGCCCCGTCCACACAGCGGCGTGCGTTGAAGCTTCCAACGCTTCTGCCCATTCACTTTGAATGGGGTGACGTCACTTTTAGCCGAACTGCATCGTGGGAGGCGACGCGGAGCGTTGCTGGCGTGGCTCGCTGCAAAAGTTGAGCAATGTTCAACTTTTGACGCCTCGGCAGAAGCGTCAGCCAATCGAATCATATGCCAGTACAAGCTCTAGCCAATCAAACCGCTGCTTGTGTGTCAGGGGCGGGAGATTCATGTGATTGGTTGTTGGTCGAGTGTCAGACACACCCGCCGGCAAGCGTCAACGCACGCCGCTGTGTAAGACTAAAACTAAATAAAAAAATAGCTGACGAAATTAACACTAGTTTAACCCCATGAGTGCTTCATCCAGAGGAGTTGAACCTCTGCATAATGCCATCAAATCATGAATAAACCAACACAGAGACTTATCATGTTGGTGTCAGTTCAGATTTTTCAGTATTACTTTATTGTGATCCGCTGATATGAAAGAATATGGTAATGTTTTGTCAGGTATGGACACCCAACTGGTAGTGCGCCCCCTTTTGGACAAGGTGGAGAAGAACACCCAGGAGTCAGCACTGCGCAAATTGCTTTCCCACATGTAAGCACAGTTCATCACCTTGTTATGTTGCAGCTATATGCTTTAACTGTTGCTAATTGATTATACATTCAATACATGGTAATTACAAGGTTACAAATTAAAACACTTTTTTTTTGCAAATTGATTTAATATAAACTGAAGTATCACAGTGGCATTATTATTCAGACTGTTCTTTCTGACATTTGGAATGTAGCACAGGTGCCTCCCATCATAATATTTCTGATGTTTCTACCCTTTCATTCGGAAAGGCTTTCACCAGGACTCAGAGCTGATATAGCTACATTTGAAAACATTTAGCTATATCAGCTGATGAGGGAAAAATCAATGAAAAAGATTTTAGGATAAATCTGCAATTTATTTTCGGAATGCACTGTATAGGGGGCATCTTAAAGGCCAATGTTTCCATGACGACCTGCTAACCTCTGTGTGTTCCCTGTAGAGAAGCCTGGTTTGTTGTGCAAAGAAAGCAGGACTGCTGCTCTTCCAGTTCCCCGATCATTTGGAGCTGTGGAGACTAGGGGAGAGTAATGGACATGGTGAAGGCAACACACACTCGCACACAACCAGTTACACATTATAATGTAAGCAGTACAAGTAGTTGGGGACTGACTGCACAGCTGCAATACTGTAATGATTTGTTATGGTAACAGGAAGTCCTGGTGACAGTCTGCCTGTGAAGAGGAAACCAGAGAAGCTGATCCAGCTGAAGAGGAAGGTGTGTACTAATGTTGTGTATCTAAACCGATCAGCCATAACATTATGACCACTGACAAGTGAAGGGAAGCACATTGATTATCTCGTTACAATGGCAACCGCTTTTTTTTTTTGCGTTTCCACTAGGGGTAGTTCCGGCTAATGGGTACTGTTTCACAGTTTTTCTGGCCCCCCCCAAAATCCAGGTTCTTTCCGGGCCAACAACCGGGCTGAGTATGCTCAACTAGAGAGAGAATCGCTGGCAAGGGGGCTGTTATGTGCCATCATGACACGCATGGTGTTCTTTTTTTATATATTATAATGAAGCGCGAGCTGTGTGCTCGAGTCTTCCTGCCTGTCGGCTCTGCTCATCGGTGTATAATAAGGCTCTGCTGCTCCGGTATGAGGGTCTAGCTTCAGCAGCTACATTACCTACGTGTGCGTTCGTTAATATTAACTGTGCGGTCCGGAAGTCACTGTGGCACAGACTGGACCGCTAGTGAACAGCTGTTAGAACGGGGCGTTCAGGTGTTCAGAGCAGAGCTCCCTGTCGGAGCGCAGAGCGTGATGTGAACTGAGAAGTTTTTCTGTCGCAATATTATCGTTGAGCTAGCTAGCTAGCATACATTATCACTATCTGCAAAATAAATCAAGTAAAAAAAAATAATTCACATTTATTTTTCTTTATTTTTCAATATCGCGATAAATATCGTACCGTGGACTTTTTATCGCAATAATATCGTACCGTGAGTTTTTTGGTATCGTTACATCCCTACTTTGTATACTGCAGGGTAGCTTGTGGATGTACTCCAGGTGGAACTAAAGTCTGATTTAACACTTGATTAGATTTCACATCATTCATCCAGATCTGTAAAGTAACTAAAGGTATTAAATACATATAGTGGAGTAAAAGTACACCATTTACCTCTGAACTGTAGTGGAGAAGAAGAACAAAGTAGCAAAACATTTAAATACTTAAATAAAGTACAAGTATCTCAAAATTGTACCCAAGTATAGTACTTGAGTTTATGAACTTAGTTACTTTACACCAGTGGCTATAAAGATAGAAAGACTAAGCCTTGCACAGAGGCATGAAAATACATTTTCAAAATGCTCAACAGTGCTGCCAACATTATAAACTGACTGCTACACAATTAAAATAAATGCTTTTATATATTTCTATTAGATGTGACTCTTTGGCATTTCTTTTATTATTAACACTGCTGCTTTAGTTGTTCTGACTGCTAAAATCCTCTGTTATTCTTAATTTTAAAGCTGATATTCCGTGGGGTCGGGGGGCTCGGATCCTTGTCACCTTTTTCATACCTGATGAGTTTGCATCCCTGATACTGATACCGGTTAGTAAAAACCATGAATTAATGCTTTGACAAGTCTGCAGACAGACGGCAGGCGAAAAACCTTTTTAAAATGCGTGTTTTCTAAATGGAGATCGCCTAAGCTAACGCAGTATATGCTCCGACCGTCCACACTCACAACGGCCTATTCAGACATAAATAAACCAGCGACTGTATTCACCATGACACAGACAGTCTGTGGTTTGTACTTGTTTAACTTTAGTCTAGTTTCTGAACAGATATGAGGAGCTGTGAGCTCTGAGTGCTAACAGCTAACGGCTGGTGTTGGTTTTCTGTGGTTCGCATTGAAGATGACTTCACGGCTCCGCCTACACTGCGTGTGAGCCTGGCCTACCAAGGCCTAACTAAGCCGTGCGAGGCCCTGCAGTGGAAATGCGCCATTACAGGACTTAAAGGACCTGCGACCAGATACCACAGCACACCTTCAGAGGGTTAGTGGAGGCCATGCCTCGACGGATCAGGGCTGTTTTGGGACCTACACGATATTAGGCAGGTGGTCATAATGTTATGGCTGATTGATGTATGTGTGTGTTTTTAAATGTACACCTGAAATCTGGTGGAAGCCTGCTGCCTTACTTACCCATCTGTAAGACAGGTCCAACAGTAATTTCAGTTATTCACTTCAGTTCTCTTTGTTTACTCTTGTTTGTCCGTCATCGTCAGTCAGTACACCTGGAGGGATTTTCATAAGATGTGTAAAAGCTCACTGACCTCACAAAAAAGTTCTAATAGGATAACATAATAAACTGATGACATTTGGAGAGATATGGATGTTAACTAGGGGTGTAACGGTTCACAAACATTTCGGTTCGGTACGTACTTCGGTTTTTTGGTCACGGTTCGGTTCGGTACGTTTTCGGTACAGCAGAATTTTTTTTCACAAAACAAAACATATATATATATATTTTTATTATTATTATTAAACTGTGAATAATGTATTCACTCAAATAAATACAAAATATAATAAAATAAACATTAAGGTGCAGCATTTCGATGAACTGAAATAATCTGTATTTGAACTTTACTGTACTAGTACTCACAAAACATAAACTATTAGTTTTGGGTTTTTAATTATTATTAAACTGTGAATATTCACTCAAATAAATACAAAATAAAATGAACATTAAGGTGCAGCATTTCGATGAACTGAAATAATCTGTATTTGAACTGTACTGTACTAGCACCTAAGCAGCCAGTTTGACATTAGGACTTGCTTGTCATTGTATTTTCATGTTTTTTTAAAGAAAAATTAACTTGTCCACATTGCTTGCCGAAAAGGCAGATCTGCTGGCACTAACAATGTCTCCTGATGTGGAGAAAACCCTCTCGCTAGGGACAGAGGTAGCAGATACAGCCAGGTAGCGCTTTACTAACATGGCAACATAAGGATATTTGGTGTTTGTAATAGCTTTGGCTCGGTCTGATCTTTTTGCGAGTGGTGGAGGCTTAAATGCTAGTGGGAGTTGGGTTTGCACTTCAGTCTTTTTTCTTTTGGTACCGGTGATATTCACGTTCGGGTGATGCCTTTTCAAGAGTGTGCAAGTTTGATGTATTGCCAGCCGCGTAACCAATGTTAGTTGAACAATGCCGACAAACAGCTTTGGTTCGGTCCACCTGTCTTTGTCCGTCATCCTTGTACGTAACTGTGAAACCAAAATGTTCCCAAACCGGAGACTTCAATGATGCTGGAGGATTTTCGAGCTCAACTTTATCTGCGTTCGCCATTAATTTTTGACAGTTCCTCAAATTACTGACTACATTTGAACGCATCCCTCTGACCAGCTCTCATAGTATGCCTCTCATCCAATGAAATGACTTGCTCGCTCTATGACGCGTTGAACCCAATGTGAGCAAGTTACTCTGAATGCTGCGACGCAGCACCTGAGATTACTTCCAAAAAGTTATTCACGTTCTCAATTTTTTACGTTTAACGTTATATTCGTTCGGTACACTTCGGTACACACCTGTACCGAACCGAAGGGCCCGTACCGAATAATTTCGGTACGGGTACGTGTACCGTTACACCCCTAATGTTAACTGAACATGACCAGTTTCATGGCATATAACCTTGAGGTGGTCATTTTAATTTAACTAAGCATTTCTTAGTTGGCCAAGTTTGTGTTAACATACAAGGAATGTGACTTATTCATACATATATGATCTTTGAGATGACAGGACATTGACCGTGCTGTCTCCGCAGGGCGAGGATCATATCAGCTGCAGTCGCTGTGTCTCCATGTGGAGGCTGGCTGGCGTACTCCACTGTCTCCAGCTTCCGTCTCTACAGATTACAGAACAACACCATCAGTGTCACCAAGGTGAGCTCATCCACTTTTTCCATATGCTACTCTCTGTTTGACTTATTGCTCACACATTAACATAGTAGATATACTAGGGATGCTCCGATCGATCGGTCACCGATCGAGATCGGCCGATACTCACTCTCTACCGATCGATCGGTGCTCTCTAAACATGCCGATCGCGAGAGCCGATCGCATGACGTAAAATACATGATACTTTTCTCTGTGTGCGGCAAAACAAGCTCGCCAAAATGGCTTCACCGGTCTGGCATTATTTTAAGGTGTCCGAAAAAGACAGTAAAATAGCGATATGCAACGTGTGTGTGAAGCAGAAATCCTGCAGCTCCGCCCGCCGGACCGGTAAGCGGAGCGAAACACACAAGAGTTAGACCTAACACACTTAGCTATTTTATCTACCTCTGGAACAAGCTAAACTAGTTATAAATATATTTATTCTTCACTGTCGGGTCACTCATTACTGGATCAGTGAGCTGCATGAGATACTGACAGGCTGTCAGGAGAGAGAGAGGGGGGAGAGAGAGAGGAAAAGAGAGCGCTTCCGCTCATTTCTCCCGTGTTATTATCCAAAGTGAATGTAAACTTGAATAATGGGGCGGTTTTGGCGCAGTGATTAGAGCGTTGGTCATCAGATCAAGGGGCGTTGGTGAACTCGTTCGAATCCCGCGTCAGGCTGTTGTGTCCTTGGGCAAGACACTTTACCCGCATTTGCTCCTGTGGGTAATGTCCGCAGTAATGACTCTTACATGTCTAATATGTGTAATGTGTACTTGTAAAGCACTTTGAGCACCTGTAAAAGCGCTCTAATAAAAAATGTAATGCATTATTATTATTATTATTATTACTTCATTTGAATGTAATAATTACGTTTTTGGGAGTTTTACGAGGCGTGGTTTGCAATCCGCCCAGCCAATCAGACATAGGAACCTTTTTCTCCGACGAAAGTACCTAGCAGGGAAGGAAAAGTGGGGTAAAAAGGTTCTCATGAACTAATTTTAGTTCCGGCTCTTTTTGGTCTGAACGCGACATTTCGGAACTATATCTGAACTAAAGTGGGAAAAGTACTGCAGTGTGAACGCGCCTATGGCCTCACCATATAACAGTAGAGACTGTCCATCAGAGGTGGGAGTAAGTCCTACATGTGCAAGTCATGAGCAAGTCTCAAGTCTTGACCTACAAGTATCAAGCAAGTCACTGTGGTGAGAGTCAAGCAAGTCAAGTCATTGCTCAGGTCAAGTCAAGTCATACAAAATTCTGATGAATAAGCCCAGTTTCCGCATTTAAATCAGTTAAAAGACAGTGGTTATGAAAATGGATTCAACCCACACTATGATCTTCATTACATACACAGTTAATCATTTGAAAACTAATTTAGACCGATGACAATCATATTAGATTCATATTTACTCCAGAACTGCAGACAATATAGCTAGGACTCAATCAAAATGTCCATTACCTACACATATTTAATTTAAATTTCTGTTAACACTAGAACCGCCAACAGCGTCAGCGCCTATATCATTTTCAAATCATTTAATTTGTTCCTCTTCATAATATCCTTATAAACTAAGTAGGACGATTTAAAACTCACTTAATTTGGTTAATTTTGAAATTGCTTCAGCTTATCATCATAACAGATCAAAAAGTTCAGATTCATTTTACAATAAATCAAGGAATGATGCACTTCCACAAACAAAAACAACATAATTAAAACATTTAAACACACTACTAAAAAGTAGATGAACTAAATTATTCAAAAGTCTACAGTAACTTCTGATAATAACACAGGGGAAATAAACGAGCCATCTCTTTTCCTCTCTCTCCCTCTCCTGACAGCCCGTCACTATCAGGGTTAGTAAAAATGAATCCCTTGGAGGTTCTAGTGTTCATTTACCGTTGTCTTCTCTTTGCAATGCTTAATCGATTTGAAACCAAGTCTAACGTAGCTTACACTCAACGTTAGCATTCTAGCTAACACAACACATGCACGTACCTTTCTCTGTGGGTTTTTTTGTAGTGACGAATTAAGTTGGATGTTGTGGTGGTCGTGTCACTGATCTTTATGCTGCAGCCCCTGCATACCGCTGTTCTCTTCTTATTACCGTAATCAACAAAATAATCCTTGAATCCAAACTTCACTATTTTTGGAGTAACGCTAGCCGCTGCCATGTTAACTGACACTCCTGCCTTCTAGTGGGTTGCCAGGTTTGCGCGCATGGCGCTATAATCACGTTTTTCGAAAAAACTAAACGTAATATCTCACGACAAAAACAAACGCAAATATTTTATTTTAAACAGTCAAGTCATCTATCTCAAGCTTAAGTCAAGTCTCAAGTCATGAATACCAAGTCAAAGTCAAGTCTTTTATCAATGTTAGTCAAGCAAGTCTCAAGTCAAAAAATATGCAACTCGAGTCTGACTCGAGTCAAGTCATGTGACTCGAGTCTGACTCGAGTCAAGTCATGTGACTCGAGTCTGACTCGAGTCAAGTCATGTGACTCGAGTCTGACTCGAGTCAAGTCATGTGAATCGAGTCCCCACCTCTGCTGTCCATATACTGTAGGTAAAGAAGAACCATGATGAAGCTCCCTCCCTCTTCTCCCTCTAGGTGTCTAGACTCCCTAAGGACCTTCGCTCGGCGCAGCAGCTCTGCTTCTCCTCTGACTCCACCAAACTCTTTGCTTCCTCCTGCCGTTCTTCAGTCCTAGTCGTTGACCTTAACCAGTCAGATTGCAAATACCTCCACACCCTCAGACCCAAATCAGGTGAGACTCAGTCCTGCTGTTATGTTATAGCATTGTTAGCAACACATGGCGTGATGATGTTTGTGAAAATGTAAACATTGTGAATCACTAGTCGACTAATTAAGTCTTAACCTCTTAAGCCCCACGGACCCGGTTCCGGGGCCGAAATCGCGTCATTTGCAGGAAACAACGTCTAAGGAACCTTAATATTTAATAAACTATGAATATTTTATATCCATATAACGGGAACAAACTCATTTAACTGATCTTTTTCATTTTTCAAAAGAAAACACAATGCTAACACTGACCCTCTGAATTAGCCCCAAGCGAAAAATGCTAACCTATTACTGCACCGAAAATCACTCCTACCTCCCATATTACTTATCCTAGCTGCACATCCAACACATCGTTTATGATCGTAAAGACACAGAATCTAACGGTGCCCACCTCAACACTGAAAGATACAAACTCGCGACGTTATCAACAAAAACGTACATCAAAACATGTGGCGCTAGGTAGCCTACAACGCTAACATGGCTTACCTTAAAGGGAGGGAATGCTCATGACACGCATTTTTAAATAATTATCATCCGATAAAACAGACCAGTCTCTGCCAGTCTTTTTCTTTTTTTTTTTTATCCGATGGCGTTATCAGTGATTTTAAACTGATTAATTACCGAAATAACATCAACTCTGTGGGCGGCGCCATTTTGACGAGTCACATGACTTATTTTACCGGAAGTGACGTGAACTATGCGTTTTGGTGTCGAGGACAAATTGACGGATGTGCTTTGTTCATGTTGTTTACTCTAGTTACTCTCACAATTCTATAGAAATATGCCTCATTGTATCGCGAAACATTGCCACAATTCGGATAGGAACAATCCACGGAATGCTCGGTTCCATCTATTGCCAACGGGTAAGCGTAGGAAGTACGTTCGGAGGCAGTGGCTAGCGAAATGTGCTCGGCCCGAAACGAAAGATCCACAGGCGCATGTATGCAGCGAACATTTCAAGTTTCCGGATGACTACTCTGAGAGTATGATGAAACATAAAATGGGATTTATTAATCAACAATTACTTAATGGGGATGCAGTGCACTGCCAATGCCAGCCAGCGTAAGCACATTACTCAACAGACTTTACTGTTTACTACGTAAGGAAGCAGGAATTGCAGGACCCAGAGCGCACGGAACACAGAGCAGACAGCAGATAACGGAATTGCAGTTTTATTGCTTATAGATTATCAGAACATTTCAAAGGGGACACAGTCACATTGGATATTAACCTATGGATTAACTACATCATCGTTTTTATCGTTGTAATGCCATTGAAGACCAGTTTAGACCAGACAAAGACCAAGGTAAGCCATGTTAGCCTAGCGCATGTTAGTACCTACCGCCACTTGTTTTGATGTACGTTTTTGTTGATAACGTCGCAAGTTTGTATCTTTCAGTGTTGAGGTGAGCACCGTTAGATTCTGTGTCTTTACGATCATAAACGATGTGTTGGATGTGCAGCTAGGATAAGTAATAAGGGAGCTAGGAGTGATTTTCGGTGCAGTAATAGGTTAGCATTTTTTGCTCGGGGCTAATTCACAGGCTCACTGTTAGCATTGTGTTTTTTTTTTGAAGAAAAAAATGAAAAAGATTAGTTAAATTAGTTTTTTTCCCGTTATATGGATATAAAATATTCATAGTTTATTAAATAGTAAGGTTTCTTAGACGTTGTTTCCTGCAAATGACACGATTTCGGCCCCGGAACCGGGTCCGTGGGGCCTAAGAGGATAACAGTTGGATTTGGATGGAATGAATACCTATAGTGATAATTCAAAGTAAGTCCGCCTGGACTTTATTTTTCTAAACTTCTTTCTCGGCTGACGAGTCCGAACTCAAATACTCCGCCATGTTTTCGTCGTGTGTTTACAAAGTGAACGCATAGATGACGTCACGACCTAGTTTTTCGGATCATGTGACTACTGAAAATGGCCAAAATGGCAGCTGCCTGACGGAATATACAGGTTTTGATAAAAAAGAGCTATAAAATCATTATTTACCGGGAAATATCGCTGATTTCTTCAGGGTATGGTTTAAACATTATGTTTCACTAAATACTGAAGTTTTGATTAACTATCTAATGACTGGAGCCTTCCTTTAATAATAATAATACATTTTATTTCTATAGCGCTTTTCTTGAACCCAAAGACGCTTTACATTTGGGAGGGAGGGTAGACAAACAAAACAAAGCCACAAAGAACCAAAACAAAACAGAAAAGCAGTCAGGAGGAAGTTGGTTGAGAAGGGGGGGGGGCTTATGGATACAGAGTTGAAGAGGTGGGTTTTGAAGCGGGACTGGAACAGGGTGAGGGACTCAGACTCACGGAGGTATTGGGGGAGGGACTTCCAGAGCTTCGGGGCTGCCACAGGTTTTGTCTGGTCAAAACTGGTCTTCAATGGCATTAAAACAATAACAACGATGCTGTAGTTAATCCATAGGTTAATATCCAATGTGGCTGTGTCCCCTTTGAAATGTTCTGATAATCTATAAGCAATAAAACTGCAATTCAGTTTTAAAATATCAGAGCAGGCCATTCCTACTGTAGCAAGATTGAATGCGCGAAGACGCAACCTTTTTTTAAAAAACATGAGTGTGTGTGCGGGACGATTTCCCTTCGATTCTATTGGCTCTAACGGTCAGAAAGACCCATGTCAAAATCGAACAAGGGGGGCCAGAGATAAGGAAAATCCACCCAAATGGCCACCAGAAGAGGGTTTTTTTTGCTAAATCTGTCTAAAAAGGTCAAATATCTCTTGTTTTGCATCAATCTTGATACAGGGTACTTATTATATGTTGTACTTTGGATTCCTAAAGCTTTTAGTCTACTAACCCATCATCCAAGGTTAGTTTTCACTATAAGTACAACATATCTTTTGGACGGACACTATAATTTACAGTTTTTTACCATGTTCAATCTGAATTTTCTTTAAAATAAAAACATCTATATTGAATCTGACTTTTCTACATCCAACTTACAGGGTTATTACTTTGAGAACAAATATTATTAATTTAACCCTTTTTAGAAGGGAAGATATGGTCATTTGTTCTGGGAATGTCATTTTCGAGCCTGAAACCTGAAAAACAGGCTTGGGGCTTTCGAGCAATTTTTCATTAGTCGAAAAAAATGTATTCTATACAGGGCTCGACAGTAACGGTTGCCAGGTTGCCATTGGCAACCATTCAGAAAAAATGTCAAGCACTTCTTGGCCTTTGGTTGCCATCAGTGGCAACCAGTTTTTAACATAAAGAAATAAGGACAGCAAACAGCAAAATGTGCACCCCAAAATAGATAAATGTTAATTATTTGTTGTATTAAGAGTGATATTTAATTATTGCTGTGACCAGTCGGAACCTGATACTTAAGTTGCACTTGCATTGGTGTGATTACGGAGCCAGAAAGCGATGCAAGTTTACTCGCGTGCTCGGTGCACAAAAAATGCACAAAAAATGGCGACGCAAATTAAGTTGTTTGACTGTGGGGTAAAAAGTTCGGCCAACCTGTCAACATCTCAAACGAATGTTCAAAGTGATTCAACTGATAAAGCGCAAAGTGAATCCGAACGAAAAGCAAAGAGCAAATGTGTAAAGTCTTGGGAGGCGAAATATATATGTTCATTCTGCTCCGTTCTGCATTCACTTCCGGTAAAAGTTCCTTCAAAAATAAGAGTCCTGATCTTATTACTACCAAAATAAAAGTGCAAAACGAAACTTTACCATAGGAAAATATTGGCATACAAATATAATCACTTCTATAAAAAGGTAACACATTTTAAATATAGTTAGACATATTAAAGGTAATTTACAGCATTAATAATTAATATCTAATTCTTAACTGTGAATGGTTTTCATTTATTTAACATTAGAAATGTATTAGTCTGGCCAATCCAAGACTTCAATGCTGAAGGGCCAGTGGATCTATGGTGGGGGTCAGCACAAAGGTCAAGGAAACCCACATTTGAAAGGGAGACAATGGATGACCAAGAAACTAGTGACTTTCTCAATTCATTTGTGAGGGATCTGTGAAGAACATGACAACAGCTGCATTACTGGTATTTAGTATACCAGCAATTGAGGGTGGACAAGTTTACTACCACTTAGGTTTCAAACAAATGTGCTAATTACTTATTGTAAAGCGTTTGAACCTTCTTTTGTGTCACATGTTCATTATTAAGTTGATGTATAACTGTATGGTATCTTAATTATTTAAAATATAAGGTGACTAAAAATGGCAACCGTATTTTCAGTTTTGGCAACCAAAAGCTGATGCCTGGTTGCCAGCCTGGCAACCACTTTTAAAAGTTAGCTTTGATCCCTGCTATATATAAAAAGTAAAAGCTCCATCCTTGCGCTGCATGTGCTATGATGCGTCAGCCGGAAACCCCCTCAGACTTCATTCAGAGCGGGGCCTGGTCATTAAGTTAATGTGGTCGGGCAGGAAATCCAAAGTGTGGATCTTTCTGAGCGAGTAAAGGACGTACAAACTACGACGGCAAAGCGTCTCCTCCATATCCACACCATCAGAGCGCAGCTTCCTGAATGCCGGCTTCATAACAAAACACGGAGCTTAATTATCCCCACAACGTGTGTTACTTTCTCAGACTCAGAGGAAAACAGCAGCAGTGTGAGTAGTAGCCTATCTTTGTATCAACTAGGGGTGTAACGGTTCACAAACATTTCGGTTCGGTACGTACCTCGGTTTTTTGGTCACGGTTCGGTTCGGTACGTTTTCGGTACAGCAGAATTTTTTTTCACAAAACAAAACATATATATATTTTTATTATTATTATTAAACTGTGAATAATGTATTCACTCAAATAAATACAAAATATAATAAAATAAACATTAAGGTGCAGCATTTCGATGAACTGAAATAATCTGTATTTGAACTTTACTGTACTAGTACTCACAAAACATAAACTATTAGTTTTGGGTTTTTAATTATTATTAAACTGTGAATATTCACTC